GATATAAGGAAAATGTATAATTTATTTAACACTTTTTTTGTGTTTATCTTAACCTGTAATACGTAGGCGGGAAACGCTGTTATTCATATAGGTACAATTGTATTTTTATCGGACTCTACCTACTACCATAATTAGCACTGGTACAATTATATGTACCTCTATATTAATCATAATATTTAATTATATTGTATTACACAGGAATATTTTTATTAAACTTTAAATTAAATAGTGTTTTTATCTTTTAAATTATATTTCATTGAAAAATCGTATAGGTAATACAATTGCAGGAGGTCTAGGAAATTATGTTAATATGAGTCTCATCAGGTTGTAGTATTAGTTGTCCACAGAAGTTGAATATTATTATGTTTTGTTTTGAATGATGATGACGAAAATAAAATGTCTGCGATAGAAATTTATGTGATTTAAGACAAGGCATTTCAATGTAAGTCGTAGTTTAATTTCTTAGGACTAACGAGCTGGAAAATAAGTAATTTTGTATGGATGATGTAAGTAAGCTCAATATTTAATAAAGTATTTTACATCTACCTCCCCTTTATACTCGTAAAAAACTTTATAAACCATTAAGATTAAAAGCACGTGCTTTAATGATAATGGAAACTATTTAGCGAAAATTCGAAATAGTATTTTTATGTTGATCGATACGAACGACTTGGGTCTAGTGAAAACTTCATAAGTGTAAAATTTTAGAATAAATAATAAGTACCAAGACATCAGCTAGGTCCTACACCAAAAAGATTGAATCACACTACCGAGATTTTCTCGTTTTCCTTCAACCAATAATAATTCAAATGTAATCGTTGCCTTCGAATTTAAAATCAAAACATATAGCTACCAGTATAATGTACACCACAATCATTGATGTGGGTGTGATGAGTACCCAATATTCTGTCCTTTTTTCGTTTTAGATTCACAATACAGGCTAACGATTCGTATTATTATCCACGTAGTCAATGGTTTTTGAAAAAATCATATTTGAACGCAAAAATATTGTAATAATACTTTTGAAAGAATAATAATATTAACAATTAGGTTCTATGAACAAATTGTTTAGAGGTAAATATATAGAAAATAATACAGTAGACACAATTAATATATAATTTAATAATAACGCACGATAATCCCGAACTAGTGAACTCCGTTATTATTTCTATAGAAAATTTTTGCAGAACTACGTCGCATCTAATTCCACTTAGTGAAAATTGTTCATCAATTTAATAATATCTGTATCCACACCATGACGTGACGTTTGAATTACATTAAAATATGGATAATTTCTTTGTCCAGTTCATTGATTGGATAAACTTCATTAAATTATAAATTATTTATTTAACTTAAAATTAATATTATTTATCAAATAATCTATCATGTATAATTATTACATGATAGAAATTAATTACAATATAATATAAATAAAAAAAATTTAATTCGATTATTGTATTAATGTATAATTGACTATATTCAATTATTATATGTATGAGTTTTATCTCTTTAATATTTAATTTATTTAGTAATTTGTTGTTTATTTGAACATAATAAACGTAATAAGATCTGTGGAAACGACTATATTATATTCTCTCTAAAAATTACTTTTTTTGTTCACCTTAAAGTTTGACGATAAGTTTTAGCTTTACAAAGTTACAAGTAGATGTGCAAGAAAAAATCTTTGACCAAAGTAGATAATTTTTAAAATCTAACATAAACTGTACAGTTAATTTTGTTTATAACTTAGTATTTTTTGAATTTAATAAATATATTCACATTTTCTAAAATTATCATTTATTCATTACCTAAACAACTGACTGTGCATAATAAATTACATAAAAAAAATAATTAACATTCACGTATAGGTATTTTTCACATACATCAATTATCATATTAAATCTGAAAATAAACTGAAAGAGCGTTTTCAGTATTTGACTTTTATAAGTTAGAAGCGTGTTAACGAGTAAAGCAAACTTATTAAAAATACTTCATTTTCTGTATAAAATCTATGAAGTACTAACTATAGAAAATATATTATTAAAACATACATGGATGACAAAGGTATATGGATATTATGCGAATTCATATAGAAGCAACTGGATATTTGGATATAGAAAAAATTATGTAAGAAAAAATATTTATATACCTATTCAAAAATGTATTAATAATTTGATAGCTTTTGCGTGGGGGTAGATACTTGGAAATGCAAACTTTGCAACGTACTTTTTGCTGTTGCAACAGCGGATGCACTGCTGTTGGTTGACGAACTATCTGTAGTTATAGAAAACGAAATTATTATCTAAGATTTACACCCTAGATGACCTGCATCGGTCGTTGATCTGATCCGAATGTTTCTAATCTTCTAATCATTTCGTATTAACTTCCGTGCGGAATCCACAACATACGCATCGTACGGTACATAATACATATTATAACAAAAGTACCGTTTGCCTACCTTGCGAATATTATGCACCGTGGACTACGATATTCGAGACGGTCGATATACCGCGGTTCAGGCCGCCTATATCAGAAACACTGCCAGCATAGTCTCGTATTCGCACGTACCTATATATGTATAATATGCGTATTGTTATCACCTAAACATTTTCAAAACTTACGGGATTAGAACATTGGATCATAGTAGTTATAATATATTAAGGCATGAATGTATCACCATAAAAACTACAATAATATTTTCATCGAAGAAACGTACAAGTAATAATAATAATCTACATATATAGTTTTTTTGCAACAACAAAATATTGAAATAAATTTCAGCGACGCATATGTAATAAAATAATAAAATTCATTAATTCAACAGGACGGAATACTCTATACATTATGTGTATCACAAATTAAAATTTACGCTGCATATCTGAACCACCACTATTATAATACTTACTACTAATGGAGTTTTGAATGAGTTCGTACTGCGTAGGTATACATTTAATTGATAGTTAAAATAGTCTTGTAAAAATACCTACTATAAAATAATTTGATTAATATTTTTATAATTTTAGTAATATAATTTATATTACTTGCATGGAATTTAATATTAACATAAAAAAAAAAAAACAATAATACTTGTTCCCCCCATAGGTATATTATAAAACATAGGTAATAAAATTGTTTTGAAATCAATTAACATCAAAGTTTTTTTATGCCTTTCTAATATTATATTATTGTTGTAGGAAATATGAATAAAATACATTAAATGACAGTTTTTCAAAGCATAACATTTCGAAATAATGGTCTGTGCTTTATTTTTTGTTTTATTATTATTAATGATATAAATTCACCGATACTTAATAAAATAGAAATACCTGCAGAAATACATATATTTTGACTATTTTTACATTGAATAAGATAATATTGGGTATAAGAATAATAATACATATCAATATATAACCATAATACACATTAAGGCCGATTTGACAATAATTTATTCAAAAATTACGTAATTATATAATAATGTAGCGATGAAAGAAAATAGGATTAATAGAAATATATTTATACCTCATAATAGTAATTCTCGTTTAAACCTTTTATCCATTATTTAAGTGTTAATAAATTAAGAAGGTCATGAGAACGTTTCCGTTTTAGTCTGTGTTGAGATGGATGAGTGTGAAGATTATAATTAAATGAACCTTCTGAATTGAGCAGTGATCTATGAAAATTTTTGGATGAAGTTTTGATGTGGTTTTGAGTTTCTTTAACTGATAAATATTTATGTAAGTTTACGTTTCTTATAAATCAGGGAATTTGCGATTATTTTAAAGTTCATATTTTGAAAGATTTGGATTTTACGAAGGCTAGAGGTCTTGCATTCCATTTAACATTAATTTTAATTCAATTAAAATTTTAACAGTTATTACTTTATACGAATATATTTATATATCTTATACTTAATCATGTCAATGCAAACGAAGAATAATATAGTTTCAAAAAAACGTCGATTTTGTGATTGATAATACATAATTATTAATATGATCTATACGGATTATGGATTGATAAATAACGCAACCCAACATACGTCTTATGTAAACTTAATGTAATATTTTCGATAAAATCGTATGAATAACTTAATTTTTATCACATCATGTCTGAAACGACCATTGAATCATATTATGTATGCAAATTTCATTGTGATAGCAATAGTCATCAGCCATGATACGACAATTGACACAACAAACCATATCTATTATCAATCTGTAAGAATTTCACCGACACTTTTGTGTTCACGTAGACGACTGTTCCAGCTTCTTTAACACATAACTTATAAGTTATAATATTTATACCGATCGGATCCCTCTGCATGTATACGCAGGACAAGTGACTTTCATCGGCGATCTATATAAGGTATACCTGGCATCACAACGTGTGCAGCGCACATCAGATTTACCTAATGGCAGGTATATGCGATATTTATTTTTATACCTCCGTCGAATTATATTATAGTATTACACCATAATAGATTAAAATATTATATTATACACATTGACCATTATACAAGTAACACTTATGCTGCATGTTGCGCACTTATAAATTATAATTTTTAAATACATAAAATAACGATAAGTACAGCCGTACAAGTATGTTTTTAATTCGTATAATATTAACGATACGTTTGCTTTTCGGCCGTTACCGTCACTATACAGTTGTATACACAGATATTATAATATACGTAAATTATATTATTATTGTTATTATTATTATGGCGTATACGAATATTACGAGAACGACAGAACCGCAGGAGCAACAGCAGAAGCAGCAGCAGCAGAMCGGTAATTATCATCCGGCAGTGCAGAATTTTATAATGTGCAGTGTGCTGTGCTGTTGTGTCGAGCGGACGTGCGGGCCGCCGAGGAAACGGCCAAGACGAAGAAACGACGACCGCCGAGGCCACCGTACCACCTGAACCGTTACGACAATGCCCACTCGCCGTCGACTTGGTCCTATAAGTCTTGGTCGTATGTATATATATATGTGTGTATGTGCCCTGTTCGCGTTTTCTTCACACAAACATAAGTACGCATGCACACATATACACACAAGCGTGAGTTAACTGCGAATATTAGCATTGYCTCAAAGTCTGTGCTTGTACATCATCGCAGAAACAGTACGTCGCCGGCGACCGCTCGCTCACCATATAATAATATTGTCTTCGTACATCGTCTCCGTCGCCATCATGTACATCGAGTGGCTGCGAAGTGTAAGTATTATTATATATTATTATATGTATCAGACATCTATATATAGAATACTGAGTAGTGATGTAATTATACAATCTATACGATTCATTTGTATTGGTGATATTCACTTATGTCCAGCCGTTTCGTACAGATCGTGCGAAAACTGTGCGGTCTTAAGGTGAAAAACGTTGCAGTAGGTGGTACGGTTTTCGGGGTGAAGCACCCAACGGCACTATTGTATTTCTCGGACTTAAGAATCTAAGGCTTTATGAATAAGTTCACAAAATCGGGTTTTTTTTTTAGATTTTACAGTAGGACACTATAGCATCACCCATTTTGTTGTTTCCGTCTTATACACGCGCGTAGGGTACCTACGGCATACTGGATATACCAAATTTTCACTTGCACACTATTGCAATATTAGTGAACGCACATTTTCAAATAATAAAACCGGCACACTTTAATTTGAAATAATCAATTTTTGTTTTTAAAGCCGATGTATTTTGGTCTTGTAATCATATAATCATTATTACGGTTAAAAAAAAAAAAAAATGCAATTATGAATGGACTGATTTGTTCGTTGGAATTTAAAGAAATGTAAATTTATTATTCTATGAAAATATTATATAGGTGTCTACTGTCCGTTATCAGAGTTTTATTTGTAGGTATACATTTTGTCATCACGATTACTTATTAAATCATTGTATAGATTGTAAAATTGTAAATTCACTATTTTTAATAATAATAAAAAAAAGGTATACATTTCAGTAATCTTTAAAAATAATTCCTATCTATTAAGGAACGTCTTTCACAAATTGTCTGAATACCAGCTACGAAATTCTGTATTATTTTACAATAGTTTTTGAAACATTTATTCGGCATTTTGTTTAGAAATATTTAATAAGGTGTACGCTATTAAGTAGATAGGAATGGGACTGAATAAGCTATTAAACAATAAACAAATATAAAAGGAACCCTGTCTTATTATATTTCCAGAACAGTAGGTACGTTTGTGTCGTCTAAAATAAAATACAAGAGATTGACCGTTAGTGTATTGTATACAAGTTATAATCTGCAGTCGGATTTGAAGTTTCTTTTGACCAAACTTATATTACACTTTGTAATTGTTTTGTTTTTACGGCGAGACTTGGAAAAGATGTAACGAGTTATTTAGATCCCGGCTTATCGAATTTCATCCAGAATAATATATTATATTAAATTGCGTTAATTATATTGTAGAGTTTGAGTAAGTATAACTAGGTAATACGTAGGTATATGTTGACGGAGATTGGTTACTAAATATTTTCATCACGCAAAAAGTGTTATACAGGGCGAATCATTTATCATGTTCATCTTTTTTTTAATTATAATCAATTTATACAACTTTTATAACCGTTATTTTTATCAGAATATAGATAAACACCATATTTACTACTCGGCAATCACATTTAAGGAGTGTTTTGGAGTGTATTTTGGCGATAAATACTTGAATTTTCCAACAATAACCAAAATTTTTTTCACAGTAAATTGTTAATCAGAAAATTTCTTCAAAAAATATGTAGCTACCTACATATAAGATCTAATTATTGGAATTTGAACAATTGGACAGTTTCTAAGCTATTAGATATTAAAATGTACATATATAAAATGAAGATAACAACATATAAACGTGGGGTTATCAATGATCATGCTTGGTAAATCATTCTGCATACTAAACAGGATTGAGAATTGAGATAATAAACGAAGAAATGCTGCAGTACTACGGATCAAATCAAATTTACCCGTTCAGTTTTATGCTCTGAAAAACCGCAAAAAGGGTTATACAAGATTACCACACAATAATTAAAAGCCTTTGCTACTTAACTTTACTACCAATCACTATTTTTAAAATTTTTTTTTTTTGATAATATCAATTTGCGATATAATTTTTAATTTGATGTTTAAACAACGTCTACACCACACTTAAGGTTCATGGGACCAGCAGATCTTTGTAGAAACGTTTAATAGGAATATTTTATATTATTATTATGCATAATTTACGCATATTATTATTTATTAGTAAAAAACTACTGCGGTTTTACTTAAAATTTCATTTCACTAAGTGCATGTTTTTAGTTGTATCCCTGCTCATCATATATTAACTCGAGAAAAAGTTTATACAAATTAAGTCCCTCATAATATTTTTAATGATTTTTATTCTAAAACAATTAATAAGTTTTAACTAGTTGTTAGTATAGGAATTTTTAAGCAGAACTAATTTTTCACAAAATAAGATTTTGTTTGAACTCAAAAACAAACAACCGTGTGGATACATATAAAAATATTATTCACTAACTTTTTGAATCACAGTTCAATAGCCTAAGGAGCTATAAAATATATGTAAATTTTTAGTCTTAATATTAACTGATTTTATAACATAAAAATAGTAATTTAAAACAAAATATACATTTTTTTTAAATAATAAATTAGTAGTTTTTTTTAGGGAAGCAAATTCCTAAATAACAGTTCTGATTGCTAGTATTAACAAATAGAGTTATTTTAAAATTAAAATTAAATAGTAGGTATATTTTATTATTATTATTATTATTTTTTTGTGACAAAAATTAGTTCAACCAACCGTACTATTCCAATAGAAAAATGAATAACAAATAGCAATGTAAATATCTAATATATAATAAACTCTACTTAGAAATACAGCTAATAATAGATTAATTTGACAGACCGTGTCCAAACTTGAAGTATGATTTAGCACATTCATTACACCGGCTTACCCTATGACGATATTATTAATATTAAATAAACAGCAGAGCGACTTCCCTTATTTTTCTTCAATATCCAAATTTTTCATATTTCATTCTTCAGTGTTATTGTTATTGTTAATTTAAATTATGCAATGTATACAAGTGTATATTTAGCTTGTGGCTACATTATTTCATATTTCATGCGAACGTTGATGGCTAAATCTGATAGAACCCAAAAGGTAAACTGCACTGAAAAAAATGTCAGCATTGTTTTTTATTGAAATAGTTTCATGAATGTAATAGTTTGCCAGATGACAGTTAAATTAATTTTTTTTTTAACAAAATTTAAAATATTACATTCTCTATTTTAATATATTTTATAGTTAAAATAAAAAGTTTGCTATAAATTAAATTGCAGTTGCTCTCGGCAACTGCAAGTTTAATTACTGTGGAGTGTATATAATTGTATATACATTATTTTACTCCATCGTCGAAATACATATAAATTTTTTTTTATCGATGCAGTAGAGTACCTATGGATAATATTATTAAATATTCTGAGAGGATTTTTGGTGCTTGTTTTAAAAGCCAAAACGGAATAGTTGCCAACATTATTATATTCCATTATTTACTGGTTGGCTATCCCAGCTTAGATACCCATTCAAAGATTTGTGTTTTGTAAAACAATGTATATTATGTTATAATTCGACTAATTTAAATAGTGTCATAATATGTTTCATAGTTTTTCCCATGTTTTCCAAATTTCTAAATAAGTTATCCAATTTTTTTTTCTCTGCAATATCTTTTATTCTCAAATTTAAAGTGATGCGAATACCAACAAAAATCAGTTCATTTTTATTCATATAGATTGTAATATATCATGTTTTTAATATATGTTAACGATCATATTTAGATACCTATAGTATTGTGGTATTTATCAATAAGAAAATTAATCGAGTTCATGATGTTGCCTCCAGAATGAGGGAAGATATTTTTGTTGATAATGTGAATGAATATGGCTGGGTTACATAATTTTATTTATTTTCAAAAGTTATCTGGGTTATCTAATAAGCTTATGGCAATATTAAGTATACTACTCAAGACAATTATACAATATTGTATAGCCTGTAATAGTGTGAAATTACACTAATTATTCCAAATTAACATCCTTAAAATCATAACTCAACTTTTAAATATATTTTATTTTAATCTACGACCATTCAAACAATTAATATAAAATGAGCTGTACATATTAAATTACAACATTTGATTTTCAAACAGAAACTTATACCAACAGTGTTATGACGTAAGTCTTATTTACGCTGGTCTATACCGAGTACTTATTTATTAAATATATATTAACTGAAAGTTCTTGAAAAGTGAACTATATTCAAATTAAATAAACAACACAAACATGAACATTTGGTCGTCTTGTGCATGCCAATCCCATCAGTCGACCCTTATATAAGTTTAAGGTACGCATCACGCAACAATTCGTTCTGTATAGTACACAGATTGTAGACATATTAATATACTCTATTAAACACAACTACAGCAACATCAATAATCAAGAACGTACGCGGTTCAGATTAAAACCATTTGTTTTCAACATCCCCAAAAGCTTTCAATATCGTACATTCGTATATGCAGTAGAAAAATATACAATAACTTCAATGTTGTGTATATTCAGACACAATTTTGAGCATCAATGTTTTATAAATATATGATGAACTTATTATTTATTTATTTCATACAGAGAAAATCTTAATTCACGTATTTGATTTATAAAAAATAAAATAAATATAACTATTTAAAATAAAACTATTTCAGCATGTTAACAATAATATATGCATTTTAATATTGTATATTGATAGCCGTTTGAATACAGAAATACTAATGATGAATATTAAGTTTGAAAAATTATAATAGTAATAACAACGAGAATATTAAACAAGTACCTATAAACATTTACAAAAAATAAAAATAAAATTACTTTTGAAATCCCTATTTTTAGTTTAAATTATGTTGTACAGGACTAAATCCTTTTTAAAGTCCTAGCATATATCTATTTAGTGTTTATGCGTTTAACTTCTAGAGAAAAACAATAGAATAATTGGAAGGTAAATTGGTTACAGACGTTACAGTTGAACTATTTTCTCTACCTTTATATTGTTCCTTTGTAAGTAAATAATTTAGGATTTGTGTGAATTTGAAATAAATAATCTCGGTAAATATTTTTGCGAGTCTAGTGATGTTAGATGAGACGAAGACGGTTTTCC